ATATATTATACATTTTATATATTAAAAAACCCATTAAAAATTTAAAAACACTCTACATACATTTTAACATGGAGCATGCTCGAACGTGTGCCCCCTCCACAATGGGCAAGGTTACAAACCAGTTGATCCACCGCACCTGTTCTGTCAAGGTACTACACAACATTATATTTATTCATTTGAATTGACCCGGCGGTTTGAATGGTTGAACTGGTTAAACCGGTTAAACCGGAAACCAGAGGTCAAAATGGTTCGACCTCCGATTCGGTTTTTAAAACACTGCATAAAACAAATTGATAAATGTACATTAAATTAAAGGTTACCACACAATTATAGAACTTCCAATAGAAAATTCATCTCTTTTAATTTTGCTCCAAGTTTTTTATTGAGGCATAAGTCTTCATTAAGATTAATCCTTTTTATGTTTTGACTTTGCCACCAACCATACCTGCAAGACAATTCAAGTTTGCATTTTTGGTACCCAATGTTGCTTGAGTCCTTGAGTGTTAATATGTGTGGCTATTAGTTCTTTTGGAACCCATATCCACCTAGATCCATTTGACGCATCTCTTTTTATAAAGCATCTAGAAACATGATGACCTTTCCTATAACAATAATAACTTATTATAGTAGGTCTCCTTTGAGTGCTTGATCTTCCACCTTGATTTTGAAAGCTAATAATTGGGTAACTATTAGCCTTCACAAATTTGGTGGTATATGCCTTAGATCCACTAGATCTGTCATACCCAAGACTAGTTTTGATGTTGGTATCTCTTTGAACATCCAAAATAATTTGAAGTTTACAGTTTCCCTCAACGAGTTTTGAAATTGTGTTGTTGAAATCTTTGTTTTTATTTTCAAACTCATTGCATTTTGAAATCAAGATATTTCTTTCTTTTTCAAAAGACTCACTTTGAGTGTCTAAAACTCTTTTTAAACTAGTGTTGTCATTTCTCAAGGAATCGACAATCTTGTGCAAATCATTTTTCTTAAGAAGAGCATTTTCAAGAAATAAGTCATCAAGAGATTTTTGTAACTCTTCCTTGTTGAGGGTAGCTTCATTAAGAGCTTTTTGTAAATCTTCTTTTTCATTTAAAAGAGAGATAATGGTCTTTTTTAAGGCAGCATTTTTTGCACTTATTTTTCTACATTCCTTGTAAAGTTCATCAAATGCATCTTGTAAATCTTCTAAAGAATTGAACTCATCATTAAGTATGGATTGAGAGCTTACCTCTTGAGTGTCCTCTTCTTTTGCCATGAGACACAAGTTTGCCACTTCAGAGTCACTCAATTCTTCATCCAAGCTATCATCGCTCCAAGTTGTCACTAGAGCTTTCTTATTCCTCTTTTCTTTTCCTTTGAATCTCTTTCCACCATTTAAGGGGCAATCATGCTTGATATGTCCAAGTTTTTTACATCGGTAACAAGTGATCTTGTCTTTTTAACCCTTGTTGAAACCATCTTGTGGTTTAAAGCAACTTTTCTGAGGAAATTGAGGAAAGAAAAAAGGAATATTAATAGTAAGTTTAAATTGTATAATATATAAGTGGGATGACTTAACAATGAGTAAGGGTGGTTTTTATTTTATAACTCAAAATAAAAAAATAATAATAATAATATCAAACAACTTTAACTCCATCCCAAAAAACAACTAACTTGACTCTTGAAAATGATTGTGGATGAAATTAACAAAGGATTTGGTTCTTGGGACTAAATCAATCTTTAACTGAAAATTCAAAACCAAAAATTGGTGTGCAAGTGACATTTCAGAACTTGGGCTCAAAGTTGTCTACACAATTGATTGCAGCAAGAATACTGAACTCCATATTTCAACAATGGGGAGTTTTAGCAAACACTGAATGGAACATAAGCGGTGAGCTTTGCAGCGGAGTCGCCTTAAACGCCACTGTCTTCGACATCGACACTTACAACCCCATCATCATATGCGAATGCGACAACTCCACTTGCCACATCACTCAACTGTACATGATACCCAAACTTCCCTTAACCCTCTCCAATTTCATCTTAAAATCTCCAATGTTTAGAGTTCCATTTTGAGATTGCTTACTGCAGATGCCGTTTTAACAGGAAAGTTTATGGCTTGAGCGTTGTAGGTGTGATTCCAGATGAACTCTGGAATTTAACTCACCTCACCAAGCTGTACGTTTCTTGAGATTATATTTTTCTTTAGCACTTTCCAGTTTTTAGAACATGGACTCTTGTTTGTTAAATTAAATATACTTATAATGTTTCCTCCCTTTTTTGCATACAGGGATTTGCGTCAAAATCATTTGACTGGTCCCCTATCTGCATCTATTGGCAATCTAACTCAAATGCAATATCTGTAAGGAAATTCCAATTTTTGACATAAATCCATGACTTTTTTTTCTATAAATTATTATTTCTCTTTCAATGTTTATTCTATATGTATTTAATAGGGGAGTTGGCGTTAATGCTTTATCTGGCAAGGTTCCGAAGGAACTTGGATTGCTTACTAATTTAAGATCGTTGTAAGTTAACACCATTTGTCTCTTATTATTTTGTTATATATAAGTTCACTTTTGTCAATTGATGCATGTGTTAAGTAATTAGGGCATAATTTTATACTCTTTTGGCAATCAATGTTGATGTCTAATCAAAGCAAAAATGCTTTAGATTTATTGTACATTACATTTTCTTTTATTATTGCTATTATCTTCTTTTATCAGCACCTTTTCTTTTATTATATTTTATAGGTCAATTAGTGCAAATAACTTCTCTGGTCCTTTGCCACCTGAGCTTGGGAATTGTTTGAGATTGGAAAAACTGTAAGTTTTGACTTTTGATGCACAACATACTTAGCTTTCTATTTTTAGTGCTTTTCAAATCTTTTTTTATTTCATTTGATAACTGATAATTATAAGACTAGGGTTTAGTTTGACAATACTGCCTGGTGTTACCTTGTAGCTGTAGCTGTTAGAAGTGTTGTTTTGTATTGTCACGAAAAACATTTTAGTGTTTGGTAATTATATTTCAAAAAAAACTACCCATTGTAAAATTACTCAATTAGACACATTCTTATTTAAAATTAAATTAATTAATAATTTAATATCTAATGTATGGAAAAAGATTTGGCAATTTTATTAAAGTATTTTGGAATTCTATTAATTTTGGATAAGATGACTTCGGTATTCCTTTCTGAAAAAGTAGGGATGTATAATTTACCAAACGCATAAGTTACAAAAAGTTCTGTAAATATGCAAAAAGTACAGTAGACAGCGTTTTCAAACTAAGCCTAGAATTTTGGTGGGCTAGATACTAATTATTTTGGAACATCTGTCACTGATAGCATTGTTATCATCAAAAAAAAAAAAAACTACCATTCAATCTGCGGGGATTATAGTGCCTTTGACTTTATTGTAAACCAAGGAATTTGAGAGGTAATTAGAAACTTAAACTTTAGCTTAGTTGGGTACAACGAGTTCTTGTAAGCTGCTAAAGAAAGCAAAGATAAAGAAAACCCACTTGAGGTCGAAGGAATATTTTGCCATGTCAGTGATAATTCTTCGATGAAGACACTTTTAAACTATAGTTTGAAATGAAACTTAAGAAAGCATGGTAACAAGCATATTTACCAAAAATTCAGATGCATGAATGAAGGCCTCGATAAACAAAATGCAGAAGATCCAACTTCTTCATGAAAATTAAAATTGAATATGCTAATAAAATTTAGTGTTTTTGAAGTATTTGGTATTCTACATCAATTTTTAAAATTAATTACCAATTCACTAATTTAAATCTTCAAAATCTTTTTTAAGAAAAATTTCATATGTCTATACCCATTTGGAACTTTCTTTGTGTTTTATTATCTGATGCATAAAGAAAATGATTTATATAAAACATTTACATGGTTGTTAATCTGAATGTATGGAACCTACTTTGGAGGTTGAAAATAATGATTGTGTACTTAGCAATTAAAGATATGTTCATCAATTGTGTTGAACTTTATGATGTGCTTCTTCTGTTACAAACATTATTCCTGAAATGTTTTTGAGTTCTCTAAGATCCTTATTTAGTATGGTATTATCATAAAACTGATTGCATGTGCATAGAGCACAAGCACACACATGTACTTGATGGCTTCAAATATCTCTTCTATTGGTAGTTACATCGGTAGCTCTGGAGTTAGTGGTGACATTCCTTCGACATTTGCTAGGCTACAAAATCTAACTACACTGTAAGAGCTTTTTAAATGTTTTTCACTTGAAAATTCTAAAGCTATATACAATCTAAGAGAAAAATATTATGTCAGTGTTCTAAGCATTTCATCCATGTATTTCAGATGGGCATATGACATTCAACTCACAGGCAGGATACCTGACTTTATTGGGAATTGGTCAAAACTTACTATTTTGTAAGAAAACCATAGTATCATCATCGTTTTCCTCTTTTATATATATATATATATATATATATTATGATGCTTCAATTTATATAAAGCCTCTTGAACTTGCAAGTTATCTTTTATCACTATTATTTGAGGATTTGGGGCTTGATAAATTGAACTATTATAATTTTTTAATCTTTTGTTTTGTTATAGGAGGTTTCAAGGAAATTCTTTCGATGGTCCAATACCTCCAACCTTTGCTAATCTAACTTCAATGGAAGAATTGTAAGTACCCCTACTCCCTTCAATTAACTCTTGTCAGTATATTGAAGATTTTTGTTGCTAACTAACTCATATGAATTGTGATATGCAAATAGGAGGATTAATGGTTTGTCTAATGGAAGTTCTACGCTAGAATTTATTAAGAATATGAAGTCCTTAAGCATCTTGTAAGTCGGTCCAGATTTGGCATCTAGTTGAATTTGTTTTCTTTTATTGTCAAACACACACTAAAGTTCATTCTTCCTTTTCTTGGTCTCCAATAATTTAGTTCCATGTCTTGCAGAGAATTAAGGAACAGTAACATTTTTGACACAATTCCATTAAATATTGGAGAACACCAGAGTTTGAAACAGCTGTAAGTAATTGTCATTTGATGGTTTCCAAGTTAAATATAATTTAGGCCAGTGATGAACCTAGTTGATGTGGTTTTTCTTTGAGTCAATTGAACTTTGAATTGGGTTGTAGACTATTTGATTCATCATTTCTAACTTGATAGCAAAACACCTTGTAGAAGACCATTTATAATGTTTATAAAATGAAATATTTAACAGATAGTATCTATTTTTTAGCATGTAATTTACAGATTAGGTGTGATTTCTACCAACTCAAATATTCTATTAAGCAACTAGAACAAGATTCTTTTGACACATAATCATGCTAGAGCAAACTTGGCTTTACCATTATATTTTTATCCCTTTTATTCTTGTTTGCAATAGCTTTTCAATAGTGTGACCTTGTAAATTTGGGTGAATTAGGAGCTTCTATTGAAGCAAACAATGAGTTTTTTGGTTTCAAATCTTCTAATTCCTTTGATTAATAAGCAGATATCCTTATTTCCCAACTCCCATCAATTTCATTTCTTTTGTTTTCACTTTTTATGGCTTAAAGCTGTTTGTTTAAAATCAGGCTAGCAACTGCCTTACTCTTAAGACTCTGAATTAAGCTGGTTATTATTATTATTATAATTTTTGAATATTTTTATTGTGAAAAAGGTGGTTGTGGTGTGGTGGGCATGAGTCAAGTCTTTCAGTTAGAATTATTATCCTTTTTAATTTTGTTATTTATTTATTCTTTATAATTTCATATTTCTTATAATGAAAATTATTATTCCTCCAGGGATTTGAGTTTCAATGATATATATGGACAAATTCCAGACTCACTTTTCAATTTAAGTTCAATAACTCATTTGTAAGATATGAACTTTGTCTGGTTACTTTTTCCATATGCCTCCTAAACTCACTTTATTATGTCGAAGCATGTATTGATACTTCATTATTGTTTAGGTTTCTTGGAAATAACAAGTTGAATGGCACTCTTCCTACACAAAAAAGTCCATCTCTCCTCAATATGTAAGAGCATCTGACATCTTTTCAACCAGCATGAACATCATTATCACTAAGAAACAAAATTATCTGATAGTGGTTATTTAGAGTTAGGATCCTCTTACGCACAACTCTTACACACATCACTTACAGAAAATTTTAAACGTTCATCTCTCCATTATGAATGGTTGAGATTTATTACAATTTTTTGGATGAAAAAGAAAATTATCTTTAAAAATAGGATAAAAAGTAGATAAATTTCAACCATTCATATTTAAGAGATGAATAGTTAAGATTTTATTTAAGTGATATATGTAAGAGTTGTTTGTAAGTAGATCTTAACTCATATATATATATATATATGGATATCAATCCCAAATCCAACAGTTGGTTTTCCAAGATATTCAAGTAGGGTGCTTTTGAATTAAGACTTGATAAATATGCACTATTTTTTCTATCTATATATATAAGGACACACAATTCTTACACATATACCATTAATCTCTCTAGTATGAATGGTTGAGATTTGTCATGACTTTTAAGATGAACAAGACAATTATCTTTTAAAAAATAAGATAAAAAGCAAAAAAATCCCAACCATTCATAATGGAGAGATGAATGGTCTAGATTTTGTATAAGTGATATGTAAGAGCTCTCTGTAAGGGTCGTCTGTAAGGACCATATATGCCCAAGTCCCTTCTTAGCATTATGCTATCTTAAAGGACTTTTATTCCCCTTTTATAAAATGCCATGGTTTGAACCCATTTTGACATCTACCTTTATTCAACCCTTTTCTCCTGTTCTCTGTTACCAAGGTATGAAAGCCAAATTCTCGTTCTTCTCTAGCCCATTATGTATCATTCCACTAGGTTTACACACAAGGGGGTTGTGTGGAGTGGGAAAGTCCCACATTGAGTAACTTTGAGATAAGATGTGGGCTTATAAATAAAGTGGGCCTCTACACCTATTTCTAATTGGTTATAGGTTGGATGCCTTAAATGCTCTAAAAGCCTTTGATTCTAGTCTTTCCTTTGTTCCCTTCCAAAGTAGGAAAGTTGGCATAGTCAGAGGTAAAAAATGGACTTGTCTTGATGAAGTATGGTCCAGGATGCAAATTACTTTAAATTTTCAAATAATAAGTGTGTTACAAAGAAAAAATAAATTTAAAATGAATATTTCTATTGAGAAATGTTGAAAAGTTTGCTCCATTCTAGTTGCTTAATGTTTTTAACTAAACAAGCACTAGGATGATAAATTGAAAGTCATAGTCAAACTCAAGCTCCATGTATCTATTTGGATGGCCAAAAAAAAAAAAAAGGGAGAGAAAGACTCTAGCTCCATGTATGAATAAAAATGTTACAAACCTTTCTTGTGTCTACAGTTTTTTCCTCTTTTTTTTTACATCCGATGATGAGCTATACAAAAGGAGATAGCTCTCCCCTATTTCCAAATCCCTTCCTCCCCAACTCAAGGTTCAAATTTGAGATCTCCAAGTTGGAATCTCAAGCTCTTAAATGATTGAGCCACACCCCTATAGGCTCCTTGTGTCTGCAGTTTGCTTCATGTTTATACTCCACTTAAGGAAGTAGAACTGTCATCTTTGGACAATATAACCATGATAGATTGCTCTACTTGCACAAAATTTGTACGTGGAATATATTAATTTGATTTAATTAAAACTTTTCAGTTCATTAGGAAAATATGAAACTAAAGGGGGACTTACTCTGGGCAGGCCTTCTCTGCACCTTCTGGGTTGGTGAAAGAGTGCCTAGTGCACAGGTGTCTATCTTAGTAACAATGCCTTGTCCAAAGGTCGTAATCATGTACTTACATGCATATATTTATGGGAAAAGTAAATAAATGAAGGTTTTGGATAATGTTAGAAATGTCTTGATTTAATGGTGGTTGTGATTTAATTCATGCTTGAGCTCAGTACTGTCAATTGTGGCCAAGAAAACTTAGTGCTGTTCAGGGTGTTGTTCATGATTTTGCTGGATTATGCACTAAGCATTCTCGTGTCTTTGTGCTTGTAGCGATGTATCATACAATAATTTAGCTGGGAGTTTTCCTTCTTGGGTTAGTGAACAAATCTTGTCACTGTAAGTCTTCTTTAGGGTTATATTTTCATACATAATATACTTGAAAAATTAATTTTCACAATTGTGTTTTCTTTCATACTCTTCCCATCAACTTGCCCCCTTTACATTTTGTGGTGTACCAAAAATTTGTTCATTTGATAAAGTGAAGTTCTAATTTGTTTAATTTTTACAAAATTAGCCTTTTGATTTTAAATCTCTTTCACCGGAATGGTTTTAAAAAGATCCCTTTTACTTGGGATGAGTTTTTGAAAACAATAATTCCATCAGTCATGTGATTACAATAAATGATGTTTCTCTAATAAGGTTTCAACTACAAAGTTTGAAATGCTAATTTAATATGCTAGACCAAGGAAGTGTTTATATTTTAGAATTTGTTGTTAATATCATTTGCATTTTTCTAAGAAAACATAATTTGCTAGCTCTTTGGGTATTATAAATGCCCATAATCATAGAGAAATTCCAGTTTGCAAAATGGGTTTGCATCAAACCTACAATTACATGGTGAAACTAAATAGTTATCTTTATGTTTGTAATATGCAGAAATTTAGTTGCCAACAACTTCACCATGGAATCTTCAAACAATAGGTAATTCTCTTTATTGTATTTACCTGTAAATGCTTTTGAAGCCAATCCCTTAACTTAGCTATTTTCTTTCTAATCCAATGTACTTTCTAGTTGTGTTGTTATCAACTAGCTTATTTGATCATGGGCCATAGGCTGCTAAAAGTGATGTTACTGCTTTTCACAGTAGACCATAATCACTATTTACAAAGCTTTCACGATGCTAGTGTTCTGTGTTGTAATTTTTGTTTTTTGGAATGCAACTTTTGTCAAATTATGTTTTCTTAAGAGGAAGAGAGAAGAATCAAGTGAATTCATAGTAATATACATCCTTTCCCTTTGAGCTCCCTCTCCTCTTTTAGTCCACAAACACAATATGAATAAATAAATAAATATTGAAAAGAGAATGGAAGATCAGTATTCATTTCATGAATCTGGAAGATGTTTTCTATGTGGGTTTTTAAATGGTTAAACTATAAGTGTTACTGAACTTGTAATTATGATACTTATCCTACTGCATTCTTCTTCTACTTTCAGTGGCTTGCCATCAGGACTCAATTGTCTTCAACGAAATTTTCCTTGCAATCGTGGTTCTGGAAGATGTAAGTACCGTTAAAACTTCTATCTTTGTTTATGAAAATGGAATTGAAGCTAGAATATGAAAGGATCTTTCTTAGTTGATTTATTGATCGAAAATTGAATTCTAAATCATTGTTAGTTGCGATGGATTAAAAATTGCAAGAATCTCTTATCATTATTTTGCAGTTAAAAGCCATTAAAGGTAAGGTAAAAACAAGTATTAGATCAATGCATTTAATTCTCAAGATCGTGGAATTGAGTGGTAGGTGATTGGAAAAATGTGAAGAGAGGCACATCTTATCTGTAAATCCAGAGGTGTGTTACCAAATAAGCCATCACATATGCATGGTAGAACAACCACATACTTTTTGGTACATGGAGTCAACCTAAAACCTTTGGCACATCTTATCTGTAAATCCAGGGTTATATCTCTCTTATTGGGCCTTTTGATCCGTGATTGCATATACTGTTGATAGGTCAAGTTTCTAACCTTCGGATCAACCACATCTTTTGGGAGGCTTGTCTTATTTATTGTCCAAAGGTTTTCAAATTAAATTGAAATTGCCAATTACCAAAAGCAAATTGGGTATAAGAGAGATATAACTCGAGGAAACAAAGTGTCTTTTTTTTTTCATTACAGAAGAATTTTCACAGGTTTAACCTGTTTTACTTTTTGGTATAACATCTGTTAGGTCATAGGCTGGCCTTCTGTGCTGGGATAGAAATAAACTAGCTTTCCAAGAAATGGATCCAACCCCAAAAAAAGTATACTTTTGTGGTTGTAAAATCCAAACCGTTAGATAAGCACTTTAGGAATTTGATCTAGAACCCTA